GCAGTGTGGTACTGGTGAAGAACACTGACTAGACCACGGAAAGGGAGTAAAATGAATGCATCTTTCTTGGAAGTAATACAGTCAGAATGCTACTAAGAACAAAGAATAAAAGGACTGCAGCTCATATACTCCGAATTTGTTATCAGTAGCAATCAGGCCTCGGAAAAGGACATCTTTGCTAAAGAATAACCAGGGGCAGGGGCAGGGAAGCCCCAATTAGATGAAATGATACAGGACTGCAACAGTGAGTTGAAATACAAGGCTGAAGACAGTGCAGGACTGGACATTGTTTCATTCTGTTTTATGCAGAGTCTATAGGAGTCAGGATCAAATTGACAGCACATAACAACAATCATAGGCAGTCACATCTCTAACTCTTTAGAGGCAAGAATGATGAGACTTTACCTCACATACTTTGGACATGTTTCTAGGAGGGGCTACTCCTTGGAGAGGGACATGATGCTGGAAAAGGTGGAGGGTCGGCGAAGAAGATGACCCATGACCAGGTGGATGGGCACGGGGACTGCTATAATGTACTCATGTGTATCAGGAAGTGTGAGGATAGTGCAGGAGAGAACAGTGTTCAGATCTTTTGTTCACAGCATCACTATGAGAGGTACTCGACTCGACAGACCTAACAACAACAATGCTGGGTTAGACACTGCGCTGCAATGCCGAAGGCATGTGGTCTGAATCCACCAAATGCTCTGCGAGAGAAATATTGGAGATCTCCTCCCAGGCAATTAATTGCCTCCGAAAACCCAGTAGCGGGTCAACTATGGGTTGGTTCTGACTTGGTGGTACACAATAACAACAAAATGTATATATATCAAAGACTTTAGCCCACATCAAGGAAAAAAATTTCAAAATTGGACCAACAGACAACATTATGATAGATGAAAAAAAGGCTGGAGTTGTCAAAAATGTCTGGTGTGAAAAACAATGTATTCAGATTTTATAAGTAAACTAGTATAATTAAAAAAATATAAAAATTCTATTTACTTAGATCCACTGTCAACACCCATGGGAACAGCAGTCAAAATATCAAGACTTGTTGCTTTGGGGAAATCTGCTCTGAATCACCTCTTCAAAGTTCAAAAAAGTGAGAAAGTCAGTTCAAAGACTAAGGTACACATGATTCAAACCATGGTTTCCAGTTATTTCTATGTACCTGAAAGCTGGACAATGGATAAAGATGACAGAGGAAGAACTGATCCCTTAACTGTGGTGTTGGTGAAGAGTATTGAAAATTTCATGAACTGCCAAAAGAACAAACAAATCTGTTTTAAAGGAAGTGCAGCCAGAGTCCTGTAAGGATGGTGAACCTTCATCGTAGTTTGGGCATCTTTTAGAGAGAACCAGTCCTGAGAGAGAGATACAACACTAGGAAATATAGAGACTCAGAGAAAGAGAGGAAGATCCTCAATCAGTTCAGCTGGCAGATGACTCGCACACTGGGCTCGAGCAAGACGGAGACAGGATGATGGTGAAGGACAGGTCAGCGTTCAGATCCAGTTTTCACTATGAGTTGTAGTTGACTCGATGGCACCTAAGTCATTCACTCACACTGACTCATGGCTGTCGGATCAGAACTGAATTGTAGTTCATGCTCCAGTGCGTTTTCAGAGACAATGAATCACAGAGGAGGAGAGTGCTTGTCTCTCTCCCTCAAAGTGCCCAGTGGATGCCACGAACCCTCCTCTGGATTAGCAGCACAGCTCTGTAGACTCTGCCACCAGGCCTCCCCTCTTCATAATTTCCTGATGGAAACAGTCATACCATTGCCTTTGAAGGAAAATATACACTCTAATCTTTGGGAGTTGGTCTTTTTTTTTTTGCTTGCAATAATTTAGGCATTTAAACATATCCTTAGTTCTGTAATATATATACATCTAATAATCTTACCAAGACACCAAAATGTAAAAGGCAGGCAATATGATAAATCAGATCGGGAAAAGGATGATTCAGAAGAACTTTAAAGACAATAACAGATTTTTTTGCCTACTACTGTATTTTTTTAAGCGGCAAATCTTAAAGCAGAAAACAATCTATGCTGAAAAAGAAAAACAGAAGTAGGAACTAAATCATTTTACAAATACAAAGATTGCATAATTTGAGAATATAAAATCACTTAACATGGTTACCTATTACACAACTCATTTATTCTACAAAACACATTGTGTTATAGTTGTAAATTACTATTACTTTTCTTTTAACATGTACTTCCAAATACACCCTGGAGTTACTATTTGAAAATAACTAGTCCTAAAACCAAAAAGAAACAGTCTTTTTTGCCTTAAAATGGCATTGTGAATATTTTAAGACTTAAATATCCCTTTGAGAATTTTAAGACTTTTAAAGTCTCAATGAGACTTGGTAACACAGTAGTTAAGTATTGGGCTGATAATGAAAATGTTGGTGGTTCAAGGCCCCTGGATGTTCCAAATGCTGCTTCTGTTAACAATTTTACAGCTCTAGAAACCTCATGGGGCCATTCCATTCTAACCTAGTTTATTGCTATTACTGAAATAAACACGAGATAAATGGGTTTGAAAATTTTTGTCATGATTTTTGTTTGTTTGTTTAAGGCACAGTCTATTGAGTAAGACCAGAAAAAAATTTCTCAACATTATTTACAGTGTGTTCAGTTAGCACAAATTTCGAGGGCGCTGGATTTGCAGTGAAATGCTTCCCACCTTTTTTCTTCCTTGATTAACCATTGCTCAGTGACAAGCTGCATTCATTTTTAAGGCTTTTAAAGGGGAAATTACAATGCCTGCTGTGATAATTGTGACACTACCCTAACTGAGGCAATCACTTTAAAACTACTCTGCTCATCATTAGCAATGCTAAATGATAAAAATAATTATATGACGAGTATTCTGGGAAATGATTGTTTAATCTTCTGAAAAGCTCAAATCTAGAAACTTCTCAGCAACACAGATGGGGAGACTGTCTGATGACATGGACCCTTCTAAATTTCCTCTAGTGAGGTAGAATCCCCAGCCAGCTCTCAATCAATCAACATTTTCAACTCCTTTCCTTCCAAGCTTCCTTCCAGTCAAGGTTTATCAAACCAGGGCCAGGCTGACAACAGGATATTTAAGGCAGAGCAATTACCTGGGAAGAAATCACCTCAGATCCAAGCCTGAAAGAGGCTGTAGGATTGAAAGCTTGACCTCAGGGCAGAAAGTACCCAGCTGGACTCAGCTGGGTTAAATTCAAATCTACTGCACAGTGAACCCAAGGAGATCAGTTCCTTTGTCTTCTCTATGTCCAAAAAATTTACGTAGAAGAAAAATATCTTTGCATGGAAGTTCATCTGCAAGAAGCCTCTATCTCTCTAAGTGCTGACAAATGATTTTATGAATACAATTGCCAGGCATTATGTTTTCTTTAGAAAGTAGACTCCTCCAAATGATTGTTTTTCTGGAATGTTCAGAGTTCGGCACAAGTGACAAATGACAACGTTTCAATGATAGACCAAGACAAAGCAGGGATAAAATTCATTGTGCTTTTCCAGCTTATTATCTTATAAACATCTGGGCTTAATTCAAGCCAATGATAGAGTTGAGAATAAGCATAAGAGCATAAAATCCATTTAGAAAAACTGATTATACAAGAGAAAAGATAATGTGGGGATGCATACACGGGTAAGTGAAATGCTTTTACGTGTTAGAAGAGAACACAGAATCGGCTTCACAAAGAGCACTGTGATTCAACAACTCTGCTCAGTCACTGGGGTTGTCAATATTGCTCATTTAACTAAAGCTACTGTCACGGCTGCTGGAAAATGGACCATTAGTAGCTACTGCATTTTAAATGCTTCTTTCTAGCCAAATACTTAAGATAAATTGTGCAAATAAATGGTATTTTAAAATATGTAAATTAGGGAAGTCAAAAGTTAAGCTCTTAACTACTAGTGTAAAGGCTGCCAGTTCAAACCCACTCATATGCACAAGGGATACAGTCTGGCACTCTGCTTCCAAAGTTCACAGCTTTGCAAACCCTTTCAAGTAATTCTATTTCAGGACTAGGGTTCAAGTGAGCTGTAATGAACCCTCCACCATTTACCAAATAATAACAAGAGGTACTTTGGAAGATCTGTTTTCTCGTTTCCTACTTAAGTAGTGAAAAAGAATTTCAAGTTAGAGGACATAACGCAAAGTGGTGGTGGTGTCTGTGCCACTGGGTTGATTATGACTCATACTGACCCTATGAACAGATCTAACCCCGTCCTATCCTGTGCCATCATCACCATCTCTGACACTTGAGTCCATGGCCGTGGTCACTGTGTCACTCCATCTGACTAAGGGTCTTTTCTTTCACTGACCTTCCACCTTTCCAAGCCTGATGTCCCTTTCAAAAGAATGGCCCCTCCTAACATCATGCCCAAAGTATGTGAGATGAAGCCTCACCATCCTTGCCTCTAAGGAGCAATCTGGGAGCACCTTCTCCAAGACATACCTATTCGTTCTTGTTGCAATTCATGGGATATTTAATACTCTCCTTCAGCATCACAAGTCAAAGGCAAAAGCCACTGATGTTGTTGTTCGGTGCCATCTAGTTGACTACAACTCACAGTGACCACATGAACAACAGACTGAAAACTCGCCCTGTCCTGTCACTGACTCAATTTTTCTTGTTAAGGGTTCTCTGCTCTTTCACTAACACTCTATTTTTCTCAGAATGACATATTTTTCCAAGGTCTGACCCCTCCTGACAACATGATCAAAGACATAAAACAAGAGTTCCACCACCCTTCCTCTAACCCTGGTTATACTTCCTTCAAAAGAGATCTATTTGGTTTTCTGGTGGTCCATGGTACACGTTATTTGAAAAGTGAGAAATAAATAGTAAATAACTTTTAATCTTGAAATAGCAAAGCAAAATACTTTTTATCAAGGACATTATTAAAAATTACATGCCAAGAATGGCCCTCCAGGGTGAATAAACGGTTGGTCACAGCAGAAAGCATTCCTTAGGAATTCTGTTTTTACCTGGTTATTCTTGTCTGTCAATTCACCAAGAGTTTCTGACTGTTTCTCCCACTCTCGCTCCAATTTCTTGTGCTTAAGCTTCCACTGCCTGATGGTCTCCTGGGCTTTCAGTTTCAGCTCTTCCCTCCTCTTCTCCGCCTCCTCCCGCCGGGCCTCCGACTGCTGGAACTCACTGAGGTACCGCTCCGCCTGCCTGGTGGCATCCTCTGCGTGGAGCGTCAGCTCTGAGATCTGGACTCCAGCTCGCTTGCGCTCGGCCTCAGTGGTCTCATAGTGATTCTGGATCTCCTTAAGTCGATCCAACATCTGCAGCTGCTGTTTCTCCCTGTGCTCCAATTCACATGTTAAGTTCTGAAAAGAAAGCATACCAAATATTAGGAGCACAATCTTGTCAAAACTGAACCTGTAACATGCTATCGTCTTTAAAGTCACAGAAGCAGGCATCATTCGTATTGAATTTCATTAAAGGTGAATACAGGAAACATAGCCTTTTCCTGAATATTTCATAAACACTGTTGTTGTTGCTCTTGTTGTCATTGTTGTTTTGTGCCATCGAGCTGCTTGCGACTCATAGCGACCTTATGTACAAGAGCCCTAAACGCCGTTCTATCCTGTACCAACCTCGCCATCTCAAACACATTCATTCCCACCACTCCACTCACAGGATCGATCCGTCTCATCGAGGGTATTCTCCCGTGCCGTGTCTCCACTCTCCCAAACATGATGTCCCTCTCCAAGGACCAGCCCCTCTTTGCAACATGCCCAAAATATGTCAGACGAAGCTTCAGAATCCTTGACTCCAAGGAGCATTCTGGCTTCACCCTCTCCAGGGCAAACCTGATTGTTCTCCTAGCAGTCCATGGTATATTCAGTACTCTTCTCCAGCACCACAGCTCAAAGGCATCAATTATCTTTCTATCATCCTTATTCATTGTCCAACTCTCCGATGCATAGCATGTTATTGCAAAGACTATAACCTGGATCAGGCACACCTTAGTCTCCAGCCTGACATTGTTGCACTTCAGTACTCTTGAGAGGTCCCTCACAGCTGACTTTCCCAGTGCAATTCATCTCCTGATTTCCTGGCTGCTGTTACTAAGAGTGTTGACTGTGGAACCAAGTAAACTAAAACTGTTAGCTATCTCAATCTCTTCACCATCCATACTGATGCTGCCAATTGGCCCAGTGGTGAGAATCTTTGTTTTCTTGATGTTGAGCTTCAATCCATATTGAAGACTGCAGTCCTTGACCTTCTGCAGCAAGCACTTCAAGCCCTCCTCAGTTTCAGTAAGCAGGGTCGTGTCATCTGCATAATGCAGGTTGCTGATAACTCTTCCACCAATCCTAATGCCACATTCCTCCTCATACATCCCAGCATCTCGGATGATCTGTTCTGAATATAGATTGAAAAGGTATGGAGACAACACACATCCCTGATGGACCCCTTTCTTGATTTTGAACCATCCATTGTCTCCCTGCTCTGTTCTGACAACTGCCTCTTGTTCCAAGTATAGGTTTCACATTAGCACAATCAAATGTTCTGGGATTCCCAATCTTCTCAGAATCACCCATAGCTTGTTGTGATCCACACATTCAAAGCTTTTGCAAAGTCAAGAAGCACAGATAGACATTTTTCTGATATTCTCTGCTTTCTGCCAAGATCCATCTAACATTAGCTATAATATCCCTAGTACCACGACCTCTTCTAAATCCAGCCTGCACATCTGGCAGTTCTCTGTTGACATATTGTTCCAAACGTTTTTGGATCATTTTCAGCAGAATCTTGCTTGCATGTGATATCAATGATATTGTTCAATAATTTCCGCACTCTGTTGGGTCACCTTTCTTTGGAATGGGAACAAATATCAATCTCTTCCAGTCAGTTGGTCAGCTGGCTGTCTTCCAGATTTCCTGGTACAATTCAGTGAGCACATCCAGGGCAGTGTCTGTCTGTTGAAATAAATCAATTGGTATGCAGTCAACTCCTGGAGCCTTGTTTTTTGCTAATTCCTTCAGAGCAACTTGAACTTCCTCCTTCATCAACATAGGCTCTTGCTCCTTATTTCATGAAATTCCTCTGTGTCAGCTAATTCCTTCTGATACAGTGACTTTGTGTACTTCTTCCATCTTCTTTTTATACTTCCTGGATCATTCAACATTCTACCCATACTATCCTTAAGTATCGCCACCAGTGGCTTGAATTTGTTTTTCAGCTCCTTCAGCTTAAGACACACTGAGTGAGTCTGGCCTTTTGATTTTCTGACTCTAGCTCTCTGCACATTTCATTATAGTATCTTGCTTTGTCATCCCGAGCTGCCTTTTGAAATTTTCTGTTCAGCTCTTTGATTTCTTGATTTCTCCCTTCAGCTTTGGCTTCTCAGCACTCTAATGCAATACTCAGAGTCTCATCTGACATCCATCTTGGTGTTTTCTTCTTCCTCAGCCTTTGTAATGATCTTTTGCATTCTTCATGGACGATTTTCTTGATATCCTCCCAGAGCTCATTTGGTCTATGCTCATTGGTGCTCAAGGCCTCAAACCTGGTCCTGAGATGGTTTTGAAATTCGAGTGGGACAGACTTAAGGTCAAGTATTGGTTCCCGTGGACTTGATTTAATTTTCTTCAACTTCATCTTGAACTTGCATATGAGTAGTTGATGGTCTGTCCCACAATCAGCACCCAGCCTGGTTTTCACTAAACACAGTAGTTAGGAATAATTTTTTTGTTTGTTTGTTTTTTGTTTTTTTAATTTTTTTTTTAACAGAGGTTTTGGATTTCCATTCATTCATTGCTGCAATTTTCTCCCTGCCCACCCCTCCCCACCAGCTCACTCCCCCCTCTGAAGAGAGGGGAAAAAAAGTCCTTCATTAGTATAAAATTCCCACGTCCCTTCCTCCCACCCCCCCACCCCGAGTACACTTCTTTATGCAATCTTAATTCTAGATATCTGTGCTAACCATAATACTCAATCATATATCACTTCTAAAGAACAGGAATAATTTTTATAGAAATAGTCTCTTTCTTTCAGACTACCTATTACCACAATAGGCAAAGTATCTATGGCATAGCTGATTGTAATTAAAGTCCAAGTCACCACTGTTGACAAAAACAACATACATTACTTCATCCCTAATGTTGGGTCTAAGTAATAAAAAAACTCAATGTTTTGAGATTTTTCAGATTATCACAGCTCTAATACTAGCAAATAGATTTACTATTTCACTATCTGGAGTCACTAAATATTTTGAGATATTAAAATAAAAATCAGTAACAAAATAAAATGAGCACTGAGGACAGAAACATCAGTATAGATAATGCAGTATTTAGAAATCCATTTGAAAGTCCTGAGTAAAGTACTTATAGATTGCATTATTTCCAGCTCAAACAACATAATCAGTAGATGTACTTAACTCATCTATAGCTTGCATCAATCACAGTAAGGTAGATTTTTAAATAAACATAATTTGAATTTATCTGTAATATTTTTCTAACCAAGGGGGAAAATCTTGAAGTCTTAAAAAGCAATAACATATTTGGAAATGATACTAAGTCTTTAAGATTCACACACATTTTAAATCTGGAAGAACAAATAAATGTCAATTTTAAAGTTAACAAATGAATGCATTGCTTTGATCACTCACTCCCACACAGACTGCAGGTGGGTGGGTTCTAACTTAAAGTGACCCTCCGTTAGGCTTCCTGTCTGTACATCACACAGAAGCAAATTCTCCAGCTTTCTCCTTTGGACCAACTAGTAGATTCAAACTGCCAGAGAGGCCTGACTTTTTGGTTAAGCAGTGCAACAAGCTATGGACTACACCACTAGGACTGGCTTTACAGAACATTTTATACTAACTAAAGAATGCTTTCGGAACTGACATAAGTCAATTGTGTAAGGCTCTGGATGGGAGTAAAAATATTCAGAAATTAAGTGTTTGCCATGGGTCATGTAACCAGACCCTCTAAATATCAGTTTCCAAATACCTGGTATAATAAAGATGAAATTAAAAGGCTATGTGAGCAATTATAGGGAGCTCTAGTGGCCTAATGGTAAGGAGCTGTGCTGCAATCCCAAGAGCATGTGGTTCAAATCTACCAGATGCTCTGCAGGAGAAGGATGTGCAGTACCCTCCCATGAGATTAACTGGCTCTGAAAATCCAATCAAGGGTCAGCCAGGGCTTGGTTATGACTTGATGGTGCACAACAAAACATTGAAGGAGAAGACATTGGAAATATTTACCAAGTTGCTCTGGCCCTGACAGAATTTTCACTTCCAGATTAAGTTAAATTTAATTTCCCCTATGATTAAAGTCATGGTTTGATATTAAGGCAATTTTTTATGTAATAACAATGCTTTAAAAACATGCTTCATTTTCAGAGCGACATGTTTGTATTTGCTCAGTTTGCTAAGTTCAACACAGCCTGGAAGAGCTGAGTCACTTATCTATGCAAATAAAATAATAAATTGAGACTGGTGCATTTGTTTGTGTGGAAACTTCTAAAATGAGATGGGAAAATCCTAGTGATTGTGGTTGACACTTTTGCCCTTATTCTACAAATTTTACCAAGAAATCAGGTTGGAGGAAGAGTCATCAACAATCTACGTTATACAGATGGCAAAACCTTGCTTGCTGAAACACTTGCTGCAGAAGGTGAAGGACTTAAATATGAGGCATTGTCCCATTATATAACACCCTTCACAGAGAAGAAAGTATGTAGGTCAATAAACATATAAGAGATTTCCAACTCAGGAGTCAGGCTGATCTCCTAAAAAGCAAATATTTAAATATCTAATTGGATAATGGTTTTCTACACTTGAAAATGCTATCATTCAATTCAGATCAGAATTACTTACAGCTAACCCTCCTCTGGGTTTTTGAGGCTTAAAAAAAAATGGGTGGAGGATCCAAGGGGGAGATCGTAGAAGCAGATGGGTGAGGACGGGCGGTGGGGGGGGGCCGGGTGAGGACGGGTGGGGGAGAACCATAGGGTCTCACAATTTGATGGACGCAGGGAGGGATGGGTAAAGGAAATGGGAAAGACCCAGCAGGGATTTGTAAAGACAGGACAATGATTGGCATATTTCAGTGTTGATTAATTTTACCAAATATAATGAATGGGAATGATTGTAGGAACACAATGTGAATGAAGATAGTGTGAAAAAACAATGTATATGAACTTGTAAGCAAACCAGTATAAAATAAAAAGTTATTTTTAAAAAATCACTTAGGAGGAGAATGCCTATCTTTTCCCCATGGAATCACTAGTGGATTTAGACCTGTGAGACCTGTGGGCACTGGGTGAGCAGTGCAATTCCCTAAGGAATGTAACAAGAGAACTCTCGGAAAAT